TGCGGAATCCCATCCCGTTTTTGAAAGCACTTGACGCTTCGAAATCTCGTTAATTTTAACTGAGCGACTTTGTTTCAGAGTTACCAGTCAAAGAACGTAAAACACTGGAGAGGCAGCAGAAGGAACGAGAGGAACTGTTACTACCCATTTATCAACAGGTATGGTGAACTTGAATGAGATCCTAGTCAAGAAATATCATGCAGATATTGACTTAAAGTAGGAAAAGTACGTATGTGTTATCATTGTAAACTTTTAGTCAAGACTTTCATGCAAGAAACGGGCCAATCAATGTTGACATAGACCATCCAGGGTGAAAAATCGAGTGCTGAAGAAAACCGAGAAATCCGTCAATCAATTGCGTTTAGTTATGGATAGTGATAAAAGGTTGGGATCTGTTGTGCGTTAAGTAATCATCTACATCACGAGTTCTTAATTTGATCTTTGTACTTCCCGTTCACAGATTTCAGTTGAGTTTGCTGATCTTCATGATACTCCAGGGCGTATGCAAGAAAAGGGAGTCATATCTGTAAGTTCATTTTAATTGCTGGTCGTCCCAATTTCAGTCGTTTCGTATTTCGTCACCGTCGTTATTATCGTCGTCTGTGCCAACTGCTAAACGGAAGAAGCATTCAAACAATGTATAGTTTGAATGTCCTTTTCCCCCTTTCCAAAAAATAAACAGAGCCAAGCGAGCTATTAATTCAAAAATGCTTAGGGTTGGGTGGGTCGAAACTGGATTAAAGATACGTAACCCTAACCTGTTGTGGCTCAAAGTACTCGGCCCTGATGCGAAAAAAAAAGGGAATTTCGATTCAACTTTTGAGTTCATTCCCTGTTAGAATGTAACATTTGTGACTTTCTTTCACTTTTTAGGAAGTTCTCAAGTGGAAGGAGTCCCGCCAGTTCTTTTACTGGCGCCTAAGGCGAATTTTGATGACCAGAGACGCTAAAAAGAAGATCAGGAAGGCTAATCCGTAAGAAATCAGTGCAGTTACTTCTGAGCACAAAATGCGATAACATTCGTAAAGTCAATTTCTTTGTTTTGCTTTTCATAGCGATATTTCAAGCCCTCAGCTCTGCTCCATGTTGGAAAGATTGTTTCTAGAGGCACACGGGAACACCAAGGTAAACATCCCTTCTTGAACTTTGTACCAACATTAACTCATTGATTTTGTCCACTCAAAAACTTTTGACTCGGTGCACATCGTTAGTGGAACTGTTTCCTTCTCCCTTGTTTGAAAGAAAGTAATCTGTTCTCTCGTAAATGTATTCTCTGTTCTTCTTATGCTGCAGTCTTACTTGTGGAATGACAACAAATCAGTTGTGGAGTGGCTGGAGAAGGAAGCGAGTCTAAATGAACACTCTGTCATTGACGAAAATGTGAAGTGGATAAGCAGGGATTGGATCCTAAGACAGATTAAGACGTAAGTATCCCTTCAAAATCGTTCTTTCCTTCTATGCCATGAGCGTAAACATTCAACCCGGTCATTGTCTGAAAAGAAAGAGACAAGAGATCGATCTCAAATATCAGTCGTAACGAAGAGAGTATACCACGGCATGAGAAATATTGGAAAAAATGTCTATGAAAATGATATTCTGAACCTTGCATATCGGATTCGAAATGTTGTAACGTTTATTTGTATCACCCCTTCACATCCTAACATCAGAGTACATATTCCCTGCACCACTGTGTACACATTTTCTATGATACCGACAAAGAGAATTTGTGTTTAACAGTCAAGAGTTCCTTCAGTTGAGGGTCATTTCCTACTATTTGTAGCAAATTTTTATCATGTCACGATTTTGATGCTTGGTAGGTAAGAGCTTCTATTTCATCCACTGTAGACTTGTACAAGAAAATCCTGAAGTTGCAATGGACTCTATTGTACACATTACCCAGCAAATGACTGCTGCCAAACGTGCGCAGGTTTCCAAGATTTTGGCTGCCATGGACTCTGGTAGTACTGTGGATAATTCAAATGGCGAGTCTGCCAGCTAAAACGCAAATTTTGATTTGACTCCGACTTGCTATGACTGTAGCATGTAAATAGTCGATTGTTCAGGGGAAATGTTTTTTTTAAGAGACAGAACTCCGTCAACTCTTTCTCTTACTTATCGCGAACAAATTTTCAAACTTTGATGAGATTTCCCCCCATGTGAAAGTCATTTTACCAAAGTTACTTTCATTTCCAGGCACTTTAATTCGTTCTTAGATACTAGTACCAGGAATGTAGAAAGATAATGCAATTCATTCACCTGGATAACGAAAAGTATTTCTGCAGAAAGTCGAACAGTAAATGCAAGTATTATCATTGTGTGGTTTTTGCTTCTAAAGAGTACTCCCACACGCGATTACCCTCAAACCTCGCCGTGGAATTTGAGTTGACGGAGTTCTGCAGTTTACGTTATAAAGTCCATATTGGTAACATATCGCATGCTTTGTCGCTAAAAAAAAAGAAGATATCTTGCCTCGAAAAGGTATAAATAAGAACAAAAAATTGAATGTTTTCCTCAAGTGAACGAAGAGAGAGGTTGCTTTTAGAGGGAACGAGTACTAGTATATTTAAAAGAACAAATTTGTCTTAAGGCAAATATTTAATATTTGCAGTGGAGTAGTTTTTCTCCAGTAGGTTGCTATTAAATCTCGTGCCTCTTAAAGTTTCTTCAAACTTATCAGTGTAACTGACATAAAGATCTTGATGTTGACAAAGAAGGGATATTTCTAATGAGGCTGGGAGTCAGGCTTATCGGAATGCCACCGTATTAAAAAACTGAAGTGGCTGATAACTCGATACCAGGAGGCTGATAGGAATAATGTGCCTTCCCTGTGTTACCATATGGTCTAAATGATGATTATAGTTGAAAGTGATAAAATTGCCATAAGAAAGTTGTTTAATTGAGGGATGACAAACTCGATAGGTTTATATTTATAATGACGTGATTCTTTTTTTTCCCAAGCTGTGTGGTTCAGATTGTATTCTATGATTTTGAAACGATATTTTCTTTTACGTTGAATTAAATTTAAAGGTAGTTCTCTTTTGTCAATTCACTTAATTCAGCTTAGTGCGCCATTCAATCTCAAAGAATGAAAGTTAAGAAAATCAATCAATAAATAAAAACGTGAATTAAATTTTCCTGATTATGTTTTTCATTTTCAAGGTTTTCTACAAGTAGATTTTGAAGAATTTCACTCAAGCAGTGATTTTACAAAAAAAAATTGTCATTAAATCGACCATGATCATAATTTTTTATTCCTTAATACCATCAATCAGTTTGCTTTGTTGACCCATTCGTTGAGTAAATATAAGATGTACTGAAAATGAACACAAGGTTTAAATAAATTCAAACTTTTATTATAAAGTCTGTGGTACTTTGTAGTTTAGATTTCTCCGTCTTGGTCATTCGAATAAAGGTCAAACATGCCTGATATAAAAAGAAAGCAACATACGTTACTAGACTTTCCACAACCCAAAGGCGCAGGAATCGGGCTATTTATTGCATGTATAAGTTTGACCTTGTAAAGAATGGAACTTGGTATCCGAGTATAATGAGTCGAAATGACATGTTAACAAAGCTTTGATATACCTAGGTACTGATTGAAACTCTCTCTCTGCTCTGCCACTGAAAACATTCCCTGACAATCTCCTCCTCTTTTGGGGAAAGTAGATTGTCAAGCTTTAGAAGCAATGATAGAATAACATCTCGGGGACCTCACAGGATCAAATAGCCGCACGATACAAGCAGAATTGTGACCCTGCAAAATAAAAAAAAATGTGAGAGGGGAGGTGCAGAAGCTTGCATCAGCTTCATAATTACGAGCAGTAATCAAAGACAGTTACTAAGAAAGGTTACCTGTTCATGTAAATAGAAAAGTCTGTCCAGCAGGAAAACACTTTCAATGCAAGGGGCGATAGCTGCTCTCAACTGTTAACAGAAATTGAATGTAGTATATATAAATATATATATAATATATGTGTTTTTTTTTGTGGACTTCTACTAATTAAAGTAAATGGAATGTAAATGACATTAAAGATGCTAGGAAGGTAAGAAAAGTTAAATTATCAATCCATCTCTCGGTTACAGGTTTTTGTTGATTATTGCATGTGGGGCAAAAATTTCTGAATGCTTATGGCCCGAGACAGAGGGCATTTATTCTTATTCACGAGGGCACTTTTGGTAATCAAGAGGGCATGATTACTTGATGCTGATTGGTTATAAGTTGCCTAGCAACAAAGCATTATTGTTGAGATTTGTTGCTGATTAAATTTTTTTGCAACAATGGCTTCCCGTTTAGTTGAAGCCACGAAGACTTCATTGAGGAACTGAAGCACAACAGCAAGAACAAAAACACTAAATGAAGTACACTTTATTGCACAAAGCATTAAAAGAGCCACAAACAGCCTGTCATAAACTGTAAAAGCAAAACTGGAGAATTGAAGACAAGTAACATTGTTGCAGTTGGGTAAATCTTCTCTGAGATGTTATTTAAACAAATGTGAACACTTTCCATAGTTTGCGCAATGTGAAAAACATCATCTTCACTCTTTCAAATATTTCACATAAACGAAAGTTCAGAGGAAATTGCTGAGAGCTGATTATAACAGCTTCTCAGAATGGGTATGTCATTTCACATATTACATCTATGCATAGCTTGCTCTCCACCCCTTTCACATGAACGTAAAGAGTCTGAAACATAGTGTATGACTCCTCACCTGATGGAAGGCATGCAGATGCCTCTCATGGTGTTTAAATCTTGTCAGGTAAGAGTTCACTTCTTCATCAGACAACTGTAAATTGCACAAAAAATGCATGTGTTGTTTGTTCTGGGAGAAAACCATAAGAACCCCCTTAATTATTAACCCAAAAAATTAAAGAGAAAGGAATAGAAAGGATGCAAAGGAAAGGAAACAGAAAGAAAATTGCTAAGACATACCAAAGAAATTAAGACAAAGACTGTATGTACAATGTACTTTGATTCCTCGTTGGCACCTTATGATGCCTTCCTTCCCTTAAGCTGGCCTTTGCGATTTTGTTTGTTTTGGTTTTGCAACACCAAATCAAAAAGCCCTCTACAGCACAAAGTTGCTATCAATACAAACCTCACTTATTTTGTCCTTTAATCCAAGCTTATAAAGGCATTTATTAACATACTCCTTGAAATCCTTACATTTTGCACCAGCTTTGCCAACTCGCATTCCACTACAAATGTTTGAAAAAACAATTAAAGTTAAGATGGGCATTCTTCTAGGAAATCTGCCCTTTGCTTAACAATGAGATACCTAAATATTGCTTGATGTTATTCCAAGAAAAAATTAACCGCCAAGGAGAATCTACACACAGAGTAAGCTGAACCTAGAATAATTGATGAACCAAAATTGCATAATGGTTGGCTGCTATTTCTTTTACTATAATTGTGATGCCTGGTAAGTAGGAAAGAGATATATGCTCTCTTTTCTTGTGATAAATGTTTACCATATTCCTTTCTGTAATAGTTAGTTATTTGCATAAATAAGTGACTTCAAAATTATAATGTTCACCAACCTTCCATCCAAACCAAACTTTTCTTTCAAAATGACCTGTTATAAAGTAAATTTACCTCATGTAAGTTAACTATTGCCAAAGTGGCTCTATATATGAAAACAGACTTCTCAAAGTACAGTCTATCATATTCTTCAAGCTAGGTCCTCAAAGAAAAATTAATGAATTGTAATGATTCTCATACATGAAAATGTATCAACCCTTTACACACTAAAATCAGTATGTAAATTCTCTACACTGCTCTCTATACATTTCCTAAGCTACAAACAAGGAGAATTTGTTGAACAATCAAGAGCTTCTTCGGTTGGTGATCATTTTCTCTTTTCTTACGACTTTAAAGTTTGATTCAGGGGTGATATTGTAAGGAGAAATAATACGCTAGTCACTCCTATGTGTCTGCGGGTTAATGGCCTTACGGCATGACTAAATATGTCAATGACTTCCTAAACCTTTCGAAATTTTTGTGGTGATTCTTTGCTAAATCAACTTAAATCTTGTGTCTTACATCCTTTCAATCAAAACCATGGCTTCATCAGCACAAAGCACCCAGTTGGAGTAGAAAAAGAGACTTAGTAATTAAACATACAATGTATGTCTAATTAGTCAATGTAATAAATAATGACAATAGCAATAATTACATACCTGAAGAATTGCTCTATACAGAACACTAGGAGGGGGACACTATATGAAAAGAACACAAAAGAAAAATTCTACAATTATCCATATATGTCTTTGAAACATCTATAGTCTGATCGTTAGTCGTCTAACCATGTTGTTATTAACCAAAACAGGAAATATGAAATCTCACAAAAACAAACCCATCTGTTTTTGCAGGTAAACAAATTGTTTATATTCAAAATTGTCATGTCATTGCACTCTCTTATTAAATCCATGGTTGGACTGAATAATTACTGTAAATACTGTTTCTTTACAAATTCACCTGGGATTCTGAAGATATTCTGTCTGCAGCCTGCAAAGAAAGAAAACAAAATTAATGTCATAATTGGGCATGTGTGCATACAGCATACATGTATGTCATAAAAATTACCATTGTGGGTGCCTAACAACATTTTAAATGGAAGGCACAAGATTTTAAACCTCACATGCCAGAATTTCTGGGAAGAACGTAATGAAAATCTGAAAGTGGTCAAAGGGCCTAGAGTAGTTTTTAAAAGTCTATTGAAAAATGTGATTCATGGAAATATTTTATGTGGTTATACATTCCACCTTCAGTAGTCAGATATTATTTCTTTAATAAAAAGCAGTAAAATGGTGAATTTGAGAAACCAAGTATTTAATGTAATTTGTCACCTGCTGTGCAACCATTGTAGCATTCCTGCTTATCTGAAGTTGAAATGGCTTCAAGAACTGGCTCATTGGAAAACCTGGAATGTTATCAGAATCAATGGATCCTCTAGAAAAAGCTGCAGAAATACAAGGAATTGGAACCAATCTTTGGCTACATAACACTTTCCTGTACTCTGTAATTATAGTTTGACAAACAGTTGTGCAAGTCACCATATATCTATATATAATTACAATGTGTATTTACTTCTTGTCGTGATCATTTTATTTGACGACACTTAGTAAACTGCATAAATCAGGTTGAACACTGCACAGAGAAAGAGCTTGCAATTTCAGGGTTATTATACACAAAACAGCACAGCACACAACCCAGGAGTATACATGATTACTTGAGAAAACTGAAAGAGAAATAAAACTGTTAGGCAGTAACCTGCTGTCTCATTACCCAAGAGTCTACAGGGGTACCTGAGGAACTTTACATGAGGGAAAGTGACAAATTGCTTGGCA